AAGGCGCGCGGAGGAGGCGGAGGATGAAAGGTGGCTCCATAGATGTGCCTGCCGTGTCCTATAGGGGGGCCGTTGAAATCGCCAGGCGGCCGCGGGGGACCCGAGGCTGAGGGAGTGCTGGACAAAGAGCGCTGCACTGCTTTGACTACCTGGGCGAACTGGACAGGTGAGAGCAGGGGGGGAGGAGCTGAGGCTGAGCGAAAGTGGCCCGGTGGCGGGTGCCTGGGTCTGGCCTCGCGAGGCACCAGCACCCACGGCCGTCGGGACATGAGCCGCCTACCTAAATGTCGAAGATGTCGGCGTTGAAGTCCTGCGGGGCGGGCGAAGCGGGATGCCACATGTGAGAGAAGGTAATGCCAGTGAGCGGGACGGGGCGCGCCGCTTGACGGGCGCGCTCGGCCCTGATTTGTTTGGCCCGGTCCCGATTGCGCTGGATGCGCCTTTTCTGATCCAGAGTTAGAGAGGGAGAGGGCGGCGGCGGAGGGGGAGTGGAGGGAAAAATGGGGGCTGTGCCCAAAAAGCGCGTGGCCTCTTGTTCCGCCTCCGAGTCCTGATCGGCAGGGTCTAGCGGCTCGGGAGCCTCCGACGGGAGGTCGCTATGGCGCAGCGGCTCGGAGGGCCTGGTCGGAGCCAAAAGCCTGCGGAAGCGATCCAGCTCCCCATCTACTTTAGCCCGGGTGCGAGGGGCGGAGGGATCAGCGAAGTCAGGGCCTAGCCAAAAGTCGCTAGTCATAGATGCGGAGAAACGGAGGAGCGGGGCCAGAATGGCAGGGTCCGTCTGGGGAGGAAGGTCCCGTGGGTCTTCAACAAATGGCAAAATGACGTCCTGGCATATGGCCTGGGCGAGGCATTCGCAAAGGGCAGAGGGATAGGTCTTTTTGTCTGCCGTGAAAAAGCGGGCATTCTCGTCCTTGCCTAAGAGTGTGCGATGCGTCCCCCGTGGGCGCGTGCACTTGGCCCCTTGGGGGCGGTTGAGTAGGAGCGCGGGGAGAGAGGGAAGGCGGAGCGATAGCAAGCGCGTGGGGGCCTTGCCGAATTCGCTGGGAGGACGGCAAGACGGCTGAAACATGCACTGGTCGAAGTCCGCGGTGCGGACAGCCGGGGCAGCAGCCGGGGCCATTAGGGGCCTCCATATCCAGCTGGGCTGCGCTCTGGGTTCCCAGTGCGCGGGGCATGGATGTTCCATCCAGGCCGAGGTACCCATGTCTAGGTGCGCGGCAAATAGGAGGACCAACGAAGCGAGAAGCAAGTTGGCTATCTGCAATTGGCGGGATTGCTTGGGCGTAGCGTTGGGGATGCCCCAGTAATGGTCGATAGTGCGCAACGGCGGGGGTCCGTTGGGTTTCCAGCGGGCCGCGCAAAACGTTTCGCAAGGCGGGCCGCCACCTGAAACAACCACTCTGCCGGCATAAATGTGGTGCTGCCAGAGCTTAATGGTCTCCGACTTAGTGAGATCGCCTGTGTCGGGGTCGATGGCAATGTCGACCGACAGTATGTGGACCTCAAGCGAGGGAGTGGGCGCGAATGATTCCAGATGGTGCTGGATATCCCCTTCGCGCCTGCGGCCAGAAAAGAGGTTGAGAATGAAGATTTCCTTACGCCTGATGCGCGCAGGAATGTCATTGGTCGCTAGACCGGTGTAATCTTGCGGCTGAAATGGCCATTCAGGCAGCGCAGGGAGAGGAGGAGGCTGCGGCGGAGGCACGTCGGCGGGAAAGAGCAGTGAGACGGCTGCTGGGTCTAGCGCGTAGTCGGTAACTGCCATGATGGCACGAGCGTCCGCTTGCGATAGGTGCTTGGCAAAGTCCCGATAGTGCTGGGTGGTAGCGCGCTTGGCACGATGTGCCGGTAGTGCTACACGCCAGCGTCCTACGCCTGATTTCACTTGGAGCTTGGCATTTTCGCAACGTTGCATGGCAAGCGAGGCGATTTGCTCCTGTGGAAGGCGCTGGGCATGACAGAGAAGGTAGAGAGCACAGATAAAGGAGTCGAAACAGAGATGCTGCATGAGACTGGCACGGGAGCCAAAAGGGAGGCTGCAGGCAGGGCAAACCGCGGTGTCGGGTACCAGGCCTTTGACCCGGTGGGACAAGGTCCAGTGCACCTGGGCAACATGCTGTTTGAGCCCCCGAAATTTAAGAAATGTGTGCGGGCACCATGGGCAGGTGAGCACAGATGGGTAGTGCGCTGCCAGGCGTTGCTGCTCGATCGGATGCTGTACATGGTCCGTCGGCAGGGGGATCCCACAGGGCGCGGACATGGCAAAAAAGTGCTTGGCGGCGGCCTCGGCGAGTGCTACGCGTGCGAAATGCTGGGCCCCAGCTGTAAGGGCATTGCGAATTCGACGCTTCCATCCGCTGGGGGATTGGAGGGCAAGGGCCTCCCATTGGTCCAGGTGAGTAACTGGCGAGGGCATTTGAGCGAGATTGGCGGAAAAGTCGCCCAGCCACTGCAAGTCCTTCTGTACCAGAGCGAGCCATGAGTCTGGGACGTCTGCGGCGAGCGTGGCAAGGAGGGAGATGAGGTGCGGAGGTCCCGTGCGGAGGAGCCGGCCAAAGAGGCGCAGACGCATTGCACTAAATATCTGCGGTAGGGGGGGTCTGCAGACCTTGGCCAAGACAAAGGAGTCACGCTCTGCAGTGCTGTCGCACCTTGGGAGGTGGAGCAAGCGTCTGTACATTCGCATGAACTCTCCCTGGAGGGTGACGATTTGCGGTCCAGTGAGCAACGGCCAGACTGCAGCATTGAAAAGGCGGGAGGAGAGGATAAGGGAGTCCAGTAAGTGCAGGTGCTCGTGTAGCCACGTACTGGAGGAGTGGCGCAAAAATTGACGGGCAAGGTTGCGCCGGCTGGGGGCCGCCTCCGATCGCCTGTGGGCGAGCTCGGGGCCTATACTGCCCTTTTCGTCCAAATGCGTGCCTAGGTATGTGTAGATTCTGGAAAAGTGAAGGGAAAATGGCGGATGCCCGAGGGCAGGTGAGACTAGCATTTGCCCATTGAGCCCTTGGGGGTCCCAGAGCTTGCGGCGAAGGGATATGGAGGCTTCCCCTCTACCCTGAAAAAGGCACATGGTTTTGTTAACTTGTAAATTGAGCTTGATACCGGAGAGTGCGTAGGCCTCGACTATGATGGCCATTAGCACGGGTATGGCGTCAAAAAGCTCTTTAGTGGGCCCGAGGAAGGCATAGGCACCATCGTCGAAAAAGCACGAGTCCAGGTAATGGTGCACATCCGTATCCGCGGAGGCCAGGCTGTCCTTGAGGTGAGCGCAAAAAGATCGTGGGGCAGCTTTGTCCACATGGACCTTGAGGATAAAATGGGCGAGCGGTGAGTCTGTGAGCTGTTTAACAGCTTCGTTATTGGCGCGGGCCATGAGGAAGTTGAAAAGAACGTCCCCGAGCTGCTGTCCTGGAATGGTGCCGCGGAGCGTGAGTGCTACCCCTGAGGCGCCAGGGTAGAAAGCCCATGTATGCTCGTATGCAGCCGAGATTTGGGCGTGGAGGTGCGAGGGGAGGCCAGCCTCCTGCAGTATAGGAGGGGCAGAGAGCAAATGTCGCATGAGCTCCTCGCCTGTCTCTTGGGGGAGGTTGAGGGAAGAAACCAGGTAGGGAGGAGGGGGAGGAGGAAGAGAGGAGAGGAAGGGGGACGTGGGGACTGTCTCTCCAAAACGAGGACCCAACACCACAGGATGGTTGGGAATGGAACGAGCTTCAATTCAAGAGAGAGGGACAGAGAGAGGGAAGGAGAAACATAGGGAGGCAGCGATACACGCTCACACATATATCTATATAGATGTATACATAGCAGGAGAAGCAGATAATGAGGAGGAGGAGGAGGAGAGTGATTGAGGAAAACGGAAAAGGAGGAGGATATTGACAGATGGTGACGGAAAGGGAGTGTGTGGCAGGAGGGGGAGGGATGAAAGGGTGGACGTGGGAGCATGAGGGTAAGAGGGGAGGAGGAGGAGGAGGAGGAGGAGGAGGAGGAGGAGGAAGAGCAGGAGGAGGAGGAGGAGGGGGGCCAGTGTAAAGTCAAGAGTCATCAACGATGTTGGAATTAACCCTCCCCCAAGCTCCCTCTTCATAGACCCCTACAACGGTTCATTTCCATTGAAGGAACTGCCTCGTTGGAAGACAATTGTTTGAAGACCCTGAAGCATGCCAAAATATTGTTCTCTGGATTTCAACGCCACTTGTCAACCTGGTTGTTGCGTCTTGACGATCCGGAATCGTGACAGAACGCCATGTGTGGGACTTCCACACCGCGAATCAACATAACTGTTGCACCCGCATAATCCTGAGTCCTTCCAAAACACCGTTTCTGGTACGCTGATCAGGGGAATGAGTTGTTCTTTTTTTTTTGCAAAAAAAAGAAAAAGAAAAACAAAAACATATATAATAACAAAAAACGAATATGCGCGGCGCTAAGGCGAGATCCACATTTTGAAAAATAGCCGCCCTCAGTCCGTGAAGCTCTTGCAGATGTTTAAAGCGAATGTGCGCGGCGCGAAGGCGAAAGCCACATTTATAAAAGGAACCGCCCTCAATCTGCGAAGCTCTTGCAATTGTTGATAGCGAGTGTGCGCGGCGCTAAGGCGAGAGCCACATTATGCAAAAGGAACCGCCCTCAATCCATGAAGCTCTTGTAAATGTTTCAAAAAATATTGTACGCGGCGCGAACGCGAGAGCCACATTTTGAAAACCACCCGCTCTCCATCTGTGAAATGGTTGCTGCTTTTCATGCTTCAGAGTCATAAGTGGTGAGGAAGTCTCAGGCGAAACGCCCGGCCCGCCATAAAAGCTTGCCTCGGGGTGCGACAGGGAGAAGTTATTCATCATAAGGAAAAGGAATGGAGGCGAAGGAGGGTTCAGGAAGAATGAACAGGAGAAGGAGGACGACGACGCGCAGGGGATGAAGAGCAGGAGCGCTGGAAGGGGCAGAGCACCCGGTGCAGCGAGAGAAGCCCCCGCTCGCCTTCCCGCTGCTGGTAAGCCCGTCAGGCCCGCCGTAATTCCGCGCTCAAGGAGACGCTGAAGGCCAGGATCCTTCAGCTTCGCGGGCATTCGGGAGGGGGTAAGGAGTACGGCAGGCTCGCGTCGTGTCGACCGGCGGCGACCCCGCCGCGGGTGTTCAAGGTTGAACACCGCCAGCGGCCCAGAATCGGCTTACATGGAACGATCGGGCGATCGGAAGGCCGCCGATCGTTCAAGGTTGAACGATCCACGCGGTGTCAGAAACCAACGCGGGGGTCGGCACGACGCGAACCTGCCGTAGGGTTGTAGATGTCATGGCCACCTCTTCTTCCAACATGTCCTCTGGGCCTCGCTCGTCCGTGCGCATGCCTCGGGCCACGATGCGCTAGCCCCACTCTTCGCGACGACAGCGGAGAGCACTCTGCACGAAGAGGAACTTCCGGAGGTCGCCGCGGATTTCTCGGGTCGGCGTTGGACCCGCGTTCCTGGCCTGCGTTGTGTGTGCCTCTGCTGCAGCTTCCTCGTCGCCGGGGCTACGAGAACGAGGAGGAGGACGGCGAAAGGGTGTCTGTCACCTTCCTTTCCCCTGCTCCCCCTGCTCCCAGATGCTGTCAGGAACTTTGGCTTAGCGTGTCGCGCCACTGGTTCTGGCCCACCGCGCTTCGGCGCGACACGCTATCCACTTCCCGGCCCTCGGCGTCACCCCAACATACTTATAGTATATGTGCGTCGCCCCCATCAGGGGCGACGCGCGCACCGAGAAATCTAATAGTATATGCGTCGTGGCGGGTGCTTTCTGGTCACACCGCTCGGTAAACGATATACTACACAGGATGGGTATACTATATGTTCGGGTCGGACGCGCGCCTCCAAGCAGGACATATAGTATTAGTATGTCCCTGTGCGTCCCAGGCCCCTTTTCCTCATCGTCTCCCTTTCCTCCCGCATCTCTTCCCTCCCGTCAGTGGCCACTCTGGCGCAGGACTCCGCGCCTCCCTGCCTGCGCGGACGCCGCTGAGCATCCGCGGCCAGCTCTTCGCTGATGGCCAGTGCGTCACTCTGTGAGGCATTCCGTGGCCAATTGGCGGCGAGCCTGGGGGGACGCAGAAAACTGATCAGAAGGCCCGAGGCCTTCTGAGAAGCCCCGCCGCCTTCTGAGAAGGCCTTGTCCTTCTCACTTCCCCCCGTCGCTCGCCGCCGAACCAAGGGGGCGTCTGCTTCCGGCAACTGCGCGCAGTGCGGCGCCTGCCGCCGCCGCCGCCGTAACGTTCGCTGGAGTGCCCAGCTATCCCTGGAGCCTGTCGGCTCCGCAGCCACTGGCCGCAGCGTTGGCGGGCTCCGGCGGGCCATGCTCGAAGAGGCCATGGCTTAGGTGGAGAAGGCGGCCGTCGCGGTCTCGGCCACCACGCCGAGCGGAAGCGCGCGTGCGCGGCGCATCTCCAGCCGTTGAGGGAGGCGGCTCCGCCTGGGCTAGGTGGCCACATGCGAACCCTGCCCCTACCCCCCACGATTTCTGAGAGGGAGGGTGGGGTTCACTTCGTTCGAAGTGAAGTGAAGCGAACCCTACCCCTACCCCGAGCGAAGTGAACCCCCACACTCCCCCTCAGAAATCGTGGGGGGCAGGGGTGGGGTCCGCATGTGGCCCGCCTATGGGCCACCACGTCCTGCGTCGGCCTCGCTCGTCAGCCCCTCCGCCCTGCGCTCGGGAGCAGAGCCCGCGAACGCCCCCGGGGACGGCGCGCAGCTCGCCCCGGAGATCGAGGCAAAACGGCGCGAGGAGCGGGCTCGGGCCAAGGGCGGGCTGGCCGAGCACACCGAGGCCACGGGAGCCCAGCGCCACCGCGACAGGCCAAAAACCGCTCCCGAGCGCCCACGGGCTGCGCGAGGCGGCGCGCAGCATCGCCGGCAGGCCCCCACGGCCGAGGGGCGGCGCGGCCCCTTGCGGCCGGCGCCGCCGCACCGGCGCTGGCCGCGAGCCGCGGTGCCGCCGAGGTCCACACCGCAGGCGAGCCGCGGGCTCTCAGCGCCCCACGCCGACGGACGAGCAGCAGCCCCAGGGGCTGCGGCGGCACCACGACGGCGCCCAACCCAGCGACCCGCACCGCGTGCACCGCGGCTCCGACCGCCAACGCCTGCAGAAGCAGCCGGCGGCCGCCAGAGTCAGAGGAGCAGGAGGTCAGAATGATCGGATACGCTGGCACGTTCCAGGATTCCCAGACAGGATTCCAGGGCTCCCTGGCGTGCCGCACGGGCTGCAGGAACGAGGGCCGCTGGATGCGCTTGGAAATCTTGGAGCGCATCTCGAGCCAATCCTACCACAGCAGCGTCCTCCAGAGGCCCCGCCAGCGGCGCTGCCGCTGCTGGGGCGCTTGGCTCCCGCTCTGGTGCCTCATTGAGCGGGTCAGGAAGGTTGTGGCCGAGTCCCGTGCTCCAGCCAAAGCAAGGTGAGCAGCCGCGAGGGCGGCAGTGCGTGCCGAGCTGCAGCTGTGGCAGCGGGGACTGCAAGTCTTCATCTCTCGGTCTGGCAGCGGCGTGCCCAGCTGCGGCTGCGAGCAGCCGGGGCACGGGCAGCTCTTCACGGCCGGTCTCTTCACGCGATCCAGGGCCAGTCGTTGGATTCCCAGGGTCTGCAGTTGAAGCCACGCGTCGCGCACGATGGCCCGGGTCCAAGGGCACGGCGCAGTAGCTGTTTGTCTGGGGTCCGCACAGGTGGCGGGGCCCTCTCGTCGATCAGATGGCCTATTATGTTCGTGTCTGCCGAAGTGGAAGGGGCAGCTTGCATCCAAAAACCCCGCTGGCTGGCGGGAGACTCTGCCACCCCCGTTCCGAATTTTCCGACAGACGCAAATCCAATTTCAATTTACTGCGTTTTCTGAACTGCGTATTTTTCCAACAGGTCCCTGAAGTGCACCTTTGCCTGTCCATGCGTCCTGCTGGATGATGGGTTCCGTGTGCCCGTGCGTGCGAGTTGTGGGCAGGGCTGATCCACTCCTTCTGCGTGCCTATGCCGCACCAGGCTGGGAAGCCAGACCGCTGAGCATCAGGATCTTCAGGCCCTGAAGCGCTGAACGTCGCAGACCTGGGCGGCCAGTGCCAAGGGCATGACGAGGCACACGATCTAGGGCCCCAGGCTCAGCAGTTGGCGCTCGACGTCCTGGCCAGGGGCCCCGGCACTGTGAACAGAACCCGTGTAATACCCTCATATATACTCCTTATCCTCACCTCTCCTGCGCCTGGCCGTTTGGGCTCAGGTATTGGACTAGATCGACCAGACCTTTGATCGTGCAGGAGGAAAAAATATCCATCTTTCCTTCCTTTCCTCTACCAACGGATCAGGGGTTCTGTACCTTTGTACTCTAACCCCATGCACAGGTTATCAGCCCTTTAAAGCTCACAGTTCGTCGAACCCCGCGTCGCGATCTCGCACGCGGCCTCGATGGAACCCAAGCGGCGCATGCGCCGTAAGGGGTCCATCGGGGCCTCGCGCCCGAGCTCTCCGACGGCGCGACGGCTCGGTGACGAGTTGGAGAGCCTTAGTGTGGACTGTGAAGGTGTCCCAGGTACCCCCCCCAGCTCCGACGGACCCGAGGCGCGGCTAGCTGCTGAACTTCACCGCCACGCCGCCCGCGGGGGGACAGGAGGAGGAGTAGGAGCAGGCAGTAGGGAGTTTCACACGCCTACTTTCGATCCTCCATCTCCTCCTCCGTCGGGAGCAATCCCAACTGCGTCGGGCGCGAGCCCCACTGGTCCTGATACTCCAGGGCGCTTTCGCGCTAACCGCCGATGGACTTCAGGTGCTGGCACGCCCAGCCCTGCGACCGTTCCTGTAGCGGAGCACGTAGCCACCTTCGAGGAACTCAGTAGACCAGTGGCGGCACAGCCGCAGACGCAGCACCCCAAGGTATCATCTCATGAGACACCACACACACACGGTCCTAGCCGTAGCTCGTCCTTGCGCAACCGTCGCGGGGCCACAGGCCCATACGACGAAAGGAGGTCGAGCCCGCGCACTGCCTCGCAGAGGCCATGCACTCCTCGCGAGAGGGTGCAGAGGGAAGCTGACGCTCCCCACCTCTCCATTTCAGACGACCTGCCGGCGGTGACGTCCGCTGCAGGCGAGATAGCTGAGCTCAGAGACCAGGTAGAAACCTTCGTGTCCAGGCAGTACTCTGGACTACTGCAGAGCGTGCAGACGAACGCTGCCAACACTGCTGCTCTACGCCAAGATCTTGACGGCGCCTTAGGGATCATTGATTCCAGGATCGCCGAAGATCGCCGCATCTTAGGCGAGCTGCAGTACCAGGTTGACCGTGAGATGTCACACTCAGGTGATCGATCGGCGACGGTCGAGAACCTGCGCAACTACCTCGCGCAGATGGAGCAACAGCTTGTGATCGTACGCGACACAGGCGCATCGGCATTCGGGATTCTTCACGACGAGATCCATGACCAGCTCCGCAACCGACCACCAGCCGAGGCCACCGACCTTGGCGACGTTCAGTCTCAGATCAACGATCTTCGCTCCCACATGGACCACACTGCGGCGACGCTTCGCACCGAAGCACACACAAACTCGTCGAACCTGATCAGCATGTTGCAGAATACTGAGAAAGTCATCACTCAAAGGCTTGATGCGACCAACGCTGTCGTGCAGCCACTCGCTAACCGGATCTTTGACATCGAGCAGCGTTTTCCTGGCGTACAGGACGCCCTGGCAGAGTTGCCTGTCGGACGAGCCCAGACTGGCCAGCTGGATTCTCCTCCCGCGGTTTACGATTTCGCCCGCCTCGCTGACAGGTTGCAGGAGGTTGAGAAGGCGGCGGGCCACGCGAAGTTAGAGCTCTCCCAGGTTATTCGTGAAAGAGATACTGAGAAGGTACGTGTTGAGGGGCACCTCGCACGTCTGGAAAGCGAGTTGGAGGCACACGGCGCCCGTCTCCGAGCCTACGAGCAACGACTCGACCGGTATTCACAGCGCTCTCGGGATATTGATGAGTACACACGCCAAAAGGTGGACCAGATACACGAAGACATGACGAGCTGGACAAATCAGCTGATTGACC